TTTTTTTTTGTCTTTTATATACCAGACGATGGGTGAAGTCCAAAATAAGTCAAAAGAAGTACAGTATACACCATTGTCAGAATCCTTTTAAGTCTACCAATAGAATTTTTATTTCTTACTGAAACCCGTCACAACACAACAATCAATAATACGTGTAAGTAGCTCTAGGAGATACTTTTGCTGCATGTTTCGGCCTTCAAAAGGCCATCATCAGGCAAATACATTAAACTTTTCGTTATTGAATCGCATGTCAAATATAGGACAGAGTGCTAAAAAATAACAGAATTTTTGCTTTCCTCAGACTGCATTTCGGAAACCAGGAATCACACAACATTACTGAGGACAAGAAACAAATAATCTTGACATAGGAAGTGTAAGAAAATTTCGTATTACATGAAAACGTCTTAATGTATTATTAATTAAATTCATTGTTACGAATGCTGGCTTAAATAGCAGTGCATATATACATTAGGTAAGGTAAAGCTATCCCTCTACCAAGCAGTAAAGGCCCATACAGTTGTGAAACGTCGAGGCTCTCACAACTTCTAGACAATCGGTCCACAGATGGCGGTGAGGTTGTCAGCCTTACGCGCCGGCCGCCCTTTAACCCCTACGAAGATTCCTGGTACCCATTTCTGTTAGAGGCTGAGTCGACCCCACGGCCATAATGTGACTGGAAGGATTAGGTCAATTGAAAAAATCCACCTCATCGGGACTCGAACCCGCGACCTTCCCGCTTGTAGCATAGTGCCTTAACCAACTACGCCACAGCGTACCTCCTTATCATATATAAAATATCAGGAATGACCGACCGGCCATCGAAACCGAGCTACACACAAGTGCAGTTCCACTGCCCATCAAAACTTGTACACACATGCTCTCTTCTGTGACAGGAGAAAAGAAACAAGAAATGAGGGGAGAATGTGGAAAGGGAGAAGTGTAAATGAAAATAAAATGAACTCCATCATGCAGACAAATTTGCTAACGATACCAAAGGGTCTCTTTACACAAATTATACACCTTGGGGATGACGTCAGAGAGGGGAGTGGGGAGGTCGACCTAAACGCTAGAACCGAGTTTCATGTGCACTAAAGTTGTCGGCAATTACTCCCTTCTGTATCCTTCCGCATGCTTCAACAGGACCATCACAATCTCCTCAGAAAGAGCCTGCATTTAAGAACCATCTTATACCGGTCATATAACCGGAGCTACTACTACATAGGGATGTTCCTTAGAAAATTCAACCTTCAGTTATAGGTACTAAGCTACTTTTAAAGGAGGGAAACGTGCCTTTTTCAAACTGTAACGACCCACTCATTCACTTTACTGCCAAACTTACTGCTGAATGGTCAATCAAAAATGTACTCTGGAGAGATTTCGCACAACTCAGACCAGTCATAACGAATGCCTACACGCATCTGAAGAAAATATTGCTTCCTCTCAGTTCGCAGTCATTTCTTTTACATATTTCGTAAATGAATGCGGTGAGCATATCAATTTTATTACAGTCGGGATAGCTCAGTGTGTATAGCAACTGGCTATGGGCTGGATGACAGAGTTCGAATCCCGGTAGGGTTAAGAATTTTCTTCAGACCGGCTCTGGGACCCACCCAGCCTCTTATCCAATTGGTACCGGGGGTTATTTTCTCGAGGGTAAAGCGGCCGGGGATTGAAGCTGACCATTCACTTAAAATTAATGCCGAGGTCAAGGGAATACGGATTCATATATTCATTCCCCTATACGCCTTTATGGTGTAGTGCTTAATTAAGCACAGGGACAACTCAACCTTTTTTATCAGTTTCGTTAATTTCCAGTTTATAAATAATCAGGAAGTCAAATTATTTAAAATTTGTGTTCAAACAAACTCCATATATTTCCTTATGAACTCAGGGCCTTATCAGGGGTACCCGCTTATTATTTACATAATAATTTAGCCCTACGTTCAAATTATACTTTGAAATCGCGCATTTAAACTATTTTATTCAATTGAATGAGTTACTTTCTTAGGTTCTTCTAGATATAGACGGGGGTTTGAACTGATCTGATCCATTGCACGTTTTGATACAGCGCGTTTCCACACTTCATAATTCACTACTGAACACACAGTGTCCACAGTCGAGTCTTCAGCCGTTTCTCGGTAGTGGCTCCCAAAGGCAGACGTTTTTCTTCCTCTGGGTTCCGGAACTATCCCCAGCCCCAGCTATTAGCTTCTCACAGCAACAGCTCATAACGTCAGAACCTCAGCAGTTGTCCAACTCATTAACTCATTCACCAACCAACTCAACTCATCTGAACTGACTCTAACTATCCTGCTTATATCACGGCACGGATCACATAGAAAATACTTTTCATTACTTCTGTGCAATTTTTGCCGTGGGAACACGCTCGTTTTTGAGACCGTTACTTACCAACGGCTATTTATAGCTGCTTCTTTCGCGATCGTTGCCTAGCAACGGGTCTACAAGCCAAAATATTATGCATATTTAGTGTTGTCTTGATTTCAGTGTCCCTCAAGGGTTATGCGCAAAAGTGGATCAATGGAAGAATTATAGGTAGAAAACTTTGCTGGAGTTTGGAACTGCCATAATTTTCCAGTTCAATCTTCAATGGACATCTCACTACATATTGTGTACTATACTATATTTACGTAATGTATTTTAGATGTTATTTCCATTCACATTGCTTCTTATTTTAACTACATACTACAGCTACAGACAATGCCACTTACGTTTAAGAAATACATTCATAGAGCTACAGTACTACTATACTCACATTCCCACTTCAGTAGTTTGAACGTGATATTGTTATAGGTAAATTTATCATATATATATATTCTAGAAGTACGCTATAAAGAAGCGATAGCTTCGTAGCATTCACCAGAGGGAAGGCAGAATGAAAATGGGTCCACCACCTTCACCCATGTCCCAAGGTTGCATCGCTTCTTAAAAGCAAAGGGAACTTAAATTATAAAGTTCGGATATCACACCGATAATTAAACTATTCGAAAAAGAATGTGGCATGCCAAAAATAGTATCTTACGTTTAGCTGAGCATATACAAGTTCCAAAAAGATTACAAATCGAAGGGACGGTTGAGGCAAGAAATGTCTGTGTACAGAGAGATTTCTCTAGCTATATGTTACTGTACAGTCTTGATACTGAATGCTTACATGAGTAGATTCTAAACTGTTCTGACGATGGTGTGTAACACTCAGAATTACTGGGTTTTTTGGGCTTCATCCATCTTTCCGTATTCTTGAAACTAGAAAATATAGCGTTTATGAAACTGGATCTGTTTCCGTCCTCAGGTGGTGGGTGAAGACACCTACTCAGTTGGGTCCCTTAGATAGCGCTAACTTCAATCAATCCAGTGACTGAGGTTAGTTCTTTCTAAGGGACCCAACTGAGTAGGTGTCTTCCCCCACCACCTGAGAACGGAAACAGATGCAGTTTCCGAAAAGTTGTGTTTTTTAGTTTCTAAAATACCGAACGTTGGATAAAATATAAAAAAACCGGTAATTCTGGGTCTTATGCGACTGTACAGAACTATAAGGCTTATTTTGGACTTTATCCATCGTCTTGGATA